CTGTTATCACCGGTAAAAGGGTAAAACCGAACTTTTTTTGGAAAATGTGAGGGTAAAAACGGACATAAAATTCATAAAATCCTGAAAATTTGAGAGTTTTTATGACATTAACCCTTAACATTTTAACACTATTTGAATATGATTGAAGCATCTTAAATGTAAATGTTGACATAGTCCATTTAGCTGAAAGCTTCTTGGGTACTAGCTTTAGCTTTAAGCTTCTTGGGTATTCTAACATGTACAGTGTCCTCGATGGAGCATGTGCAAAGTGAAAGAACTTCTCTTGAAGTGGGTGTTCAAAAATCAGCAACCCTAAATTACTAACACATCACAAAATCATTAACCCAATAACAAAATTAGTGAGACATACCTAGAGAAAATGGGAGCTGCTGGACAGAGAGAGGGAGCTGGAATCAAGGGAATTGAAGCAGTTGACGGAACCAGGTGCCGAAATCTTTGCAGGTCGCCGGAATCAACACCAAGCCCAAAGCACGGAGTCGGAATCAACATCATGGAGCTCGAATTCTCCTCTCGAATACAACACGTCGCAGGCGGTGGTCGTTGTGGAGGTCGGCGGCGTCAAAGGAACCGACGAACATCGTTGTAGAGGTGGTCGACCTCAAATAGGGTAGTTCGATAGAGAGAAAGGGGTGAATGGTATGCAATTGTGAATGATGGATGAGACCTAGCTTCCTGATATGTAGTGAGTTGTGGCTTTGAAAAAAAATTATTTAATTTTTTTTTGTTGAGTCGAATTGTCGTCCCTATAAATTTTCAGGAACCTGGAAAATCTCCCGCCTAACTAGTTGAGACCCGCCAAGTCGTCAACAAATCTCAAGGTCAAAAATAAATTGGTCAACCCTATTGGAACGACAAGTCATCCACATAGATCCTCCTATAGCGGCGACCTTCGTCATCCCTTTAGGCTTTGTCACCATAGATACTTATTCTTCTAGTATAGCTTATCAATGTAAAATGAACAAAAGGCTTAAAATTTCATTTTCAACCTAATAAGTTATAAGTTGCTTTAAGAACTTAGAAATCCTAACTTTTTAGAATCTCATTTTCAAAATATTGTTTTTAAAGTCCTTTTTATATACCCAAACAATTTTTTTTTAACTTATTAACTTTTTAAGAAGTCAATAAGTTAATATGTCATTTTTAGATGAAATCTCAAAAACCCTCTTAAATAGACAAGTAATTTATTTCTTAAACCATTGGTATATACTTTTTGTTGCAAATTGGACATATAGTTCTTAAAAAAATGTTTCTAAGAATGAGTGATTTAGTAGTATATTAAAGATGTGAAATTGAAATGGAAACTTGTCCGTAAACTAATGTATTAAGTTGATTTTAGATTCAAAATCTAATGTTCAACATTAATGTTGCATTTAGTTACGGAAAAGTAGTTGTCATTTTCTGTTTTTAGTTTTCAAAAAAATAAAATAAATTTCCATTAGAAAATTAAGAAAACATGTTTGGTTAAAACTTATTTATCTTTCGTTTTCTGTTTTAACAACTAGAAAACGTGTTTAGATGTTTATTTTTCTATCGATTTTCATTTAAAAAAAATAGTGGTAGGTTAGGGGGATGGGGTGGTTGTGGATGTGGTGATTGTGGTGGGTGTGGCGACGACGGTGCTAGTGGGGGGGTGGTGGCGGAGGCGGAGGTGGTGGTGGGGGTGGTGGTGGTGATGGTGGGTCGGTGATTGCGGTGGTGATGGTGGGTGAGTGTGTATGTTTGTGGAGGTGTTGGGGCTTAGAAGTGGGTGGCATGGGGTGAGTGCATTTATATTTTTGAAAAAAATGAATTAGAAAAATATAAAAAAACAATAATTAGTTTTTAAAGATTTTCGACGTTATTTGTAATTTTGGAATTTCAAAATTCTCGTTTTTCTTAGAAATTTTTTCCGAAAAATGACTTATTTTTTCGTAACCAAACTCACCCTAAGGTTTGCGTGAAGTTTTCTCAATATAAAAAAGAAATGTTCCAGTGACAAGTTCAATATACCTATTGTTGATTTGTATTTATGACTCCTAAATTTTCTTATTATGATATCAACTCTCTCTATATTGAAGAGAATCGTAGACCATTAGCATTCAAGGAATTAATCAAGTCTTTTATGGTATCAGAGGGTCGATTATAAGCTTCTCAATCTCTCCCTCGGCAACCCTCCTCGTTTCGCTATCATATATTTTCTTTCTCATTATCGTTCCTTCCTCACCAAGGTATCCATGCCTTCGTCTCCAAGGCAGCCACCATTAACCCCAAGACACTCGCCAACAACCCTCTTCTTTTCTTCTTATTTTACTCTATTATTCACCTTAAATAACCATGGAACACAAATATATGTTCCATCCTGCAATTACCATTTCCAATATCAAAAACTTTGTTCTATTCATTATACTTTAGATGGACAAAGACTAATATAATTCATGGTTTGTATTGTTCAAAATTCATCGTACTACATACAAAGTTCATAAACACACCCTCCCCCCACCGATCTAGATTTCCCTTGTTGCTGCCAAAGAATCATGGACATAACTCGATGCCATTGCCCTACAAAATATCTATGGCAAATTCTAATGATTCAAGCAACCGCTCAACACGCATGGGAACTCCTTGAATATTTTCGAAGACAACAAAAATTATTGTGCACTTTATCTTGAACAACAATTTACTATCACTCGCCTCAAATAATTCACCAATATCTCCCCATATTATGACGAGCTTAAAACCATAGGAAATCAATTACCCGATGTCAGTGCACATCAATCATATTATACTATACTATAAATGAGATATTTTTCCTATCACCCTATGCATATGAAACCCTATGACCTTTCAATTTCCAATTTAATATAATTAATATATTAATATAAAATGTGTTATTAAATATAAAATATTATCTTATTATTGGTAGAGTTTTAAAATGGTTATTATAATACCTTATTTGCTAATTTAAATACTATGTTAAATCCAAAACATAAATCAAAATATAAAATAAACTTAAAAATATATTCAAATACGATTTTTCAAAATAGTTAAAAAAAAGTTTAAATATTGTAAATGTAGAAGGACAAGTCAAATTAAATAAAAAATATCAAAAAGATAATTTTTTTATAACTTATTTTTTTTTCAAATAACTTTTCTTAATTAATTAGCAGGAAAAATTTCATTGTGTTAACTTACAAACAATGGTTCACAAGTAACCATCATGATTTAAATTAAAAAATTCAATAGATAAGTGATTTCTATGTTAATCAATAATAACGTTAAATTGTAATACTAAATCGAAAACAATGTTTAATTTTATTTAAATACAAACCATGAGTACATGTTATTGAATGATATGATTGTGATAGATGTATATTTTATAATATGGTTCAAAATAGAAATATATATATATATATATATATATATATATATATATATATATATATATATATATATATATTAAGAGCTATTATGTTATAGTTAATATCATATTAATGTCAACATGTATATGCAAACAAATTAACTATATAATTTTATTGTATACAACGCACATATATCAGTCTAGTATATCAAAAAACCAACTCATTTTGCACCTAGTTATCGGGCTTACAAAATCTAATGACAATGTTACCACACAAAGTCAACAACCAGACCCACTACCATCTTTTATGATGCACGATCCAAGTTAACTTTGAAAGAAAATGGAAAAACAAGCAATTTGTTGCGACTAACACTCGCTCCATTTCCACCGCCACTAACATTAAAACACCACTACCAACCACTACCCAACCGAAAGCCCATCAGACGCGAATACTGGCAGCATCAACCTACTGCCTATAGTCGGTCCTTGTTCTCTAAAAAGAAAATCTTGGAGCAAATTTTTCTTCTCTTGAACATCGAATATCTGGAAGTCGTGTTGTGTGATACAATAAATGTTTATGATGGGCTTTGTTAAGAACAGTGATAATTGGTTCTTTGGAGCAGCCAAAAGTTCTTTTTCCCTTTAGAGTTAAAGGGATGCTTTAAGTCCTAACACTTTTTGTTGTCTTCTGATCTCGTCCATCTTAGGACCGGACGGCTCCCCGTATGGTAAGGGAATAATTTTGGTATCATTAGATGCTATTTCCTTTCCTTTTGATTTGGTGGGAGGAGGAGGCATCTTGATTTCTTTATCTTGAGGTGGTGGAGTAGGTATGATCAGGCCCCGACCCAATGGGTACGACAAGCTGGGTTTCGTTCAGAATAGTGCTAATCGGTTCTTTGCCATCATCATCATCATCATCATCATCAAAAAAACACTTGTTCACGTAACCATATCTTTCATCAATGCGTCTTCATGTTCTTTCTCTTGAGCAACCAGAAGTTTTTTTTTTTTTTCTGAGTGTATTTTAAAAAAGATATTTACCAAAATGGCGTGATTTTAAATATATTTATCATTTATGTTAAATTTTATACCAAATCAAAATTAGATGGTAAAATGAAAAAGAAAGAAAATTGAATGTGAAAGATATGGTGGATAACCTATTGACCCATGTTCAAATCCTGACACTACCCAACCCTTGTGGCCATGGAGGTTTGCCTCCAGTGACTCCAGGGCATGAGGCAAAGCCTCATGTTTGCAGCGGGGGATTAGTCGGTACGCGAAAGCTGGCCCGGAAACCCTCGTTAGGGAAGTTCCCTTTCAAAAAAAAAAATTACCTTTTTGTTTTGTTCATATCTGGATAACTTTTTTTTTGTACACATTTAGGTAACGAACTTATTGGAAGTGTTCATATATGACCATTATGACCGACTGTAATGGTCATATGTGAACATTTTCAACAAGTTCGTTACCTAGATATGTAAAAAAAAATTATCCAAATATAAACAAAACAAAAAGATAATTACACGATAAATCTATTTCCCAAAAGAAAATACCTTTTTAAATCAATTTGTTTTTTAAAATGTAAGGACCATTTTTGTGGTTTTTTGCTTTTGTCAGGTATTCTTTTAAATTTCCCACTAATTTATCGGCACCAATAAGATGTATTTGTTGAGATCAAGTAACAGACAAAAACGTATCCTTTGTTGCCGGCTCAATTTAGCGTTCTAGAAATCCTGAAATAGTAGTGATCGTCCCTGTCACATTGTAACTGTCTCCAAGACGACAAACCAAATTCAACTAACTATTCAAACTTCATCAGACCATCTTTGAATTGGAGTTGATCAACAGGGGAAAACGTCGATTGTTCATGGAAGGAATCTCCAATCAAGAAAAATCGACCACCGATACCGAATTACAAGCCAAATTACTCCTTTCACAGTGATGATCATGATCATAAGGGTGGTATGAGAACCATGCCATTCATCATAGGTACATCAAAATTCTCAATTCTTCCATGGTTATCTGTACTCTGTACTCGAATTCACTGAAAACCAAATCGGAAAACCAGCTTTTGTGAGTTCGAGTATGAATGAATTTCAATCGTATCAGTTAGGGTTTTGATTTTGAACTTGGAGCAGTGAATGAAGCGTTCGAGAGAGTGGCGAGCTATGGATTGATGCCAAACATGATATTCTATCTGATGGAAGTTTATCACATGGAATCTGTAACTGGAACAAGCATACTCTCCGTCTGGTCAGCACTTTCAAATGGTCTCTCCATTGTTGGAGCTTTCATCGCTGATTCTTACTTGGGTCGGTTTCGGGTCATTGCTCTCGGGTCTCTCTCCACCCTTCTTGTAAGTCTCCATTCTTTTATCTAATGAGTAATGACCCGAAATTAACCCACGGTTTCTGAAATCGAAACTATTGATGATCTTCTCCTTTCTTCAGGGGATGGTTTTTCTATGGCTGACTTCCATATTCCCACAGTTAAGACCTTCATCTTGCAATGAACTCGACACCAGTTGCAACCCTGCAACACCAACCCAACTCGCTTTACTCTTTTCATGTTTTGGTCTACTCTCGATTGGATCTGGTTGCATCAGACCATGTTCGATGGCTTTTGGTGCAGACCAACTTAATCATGATCGAAGAACCCTAAACAACCAGAGGCTCATTGACAGTTACTTTAATTGGTACTACGCTTCTGCGTCAATGTCAACAGTTGTTTCTTTTACAGTAGTGGTGTACATTCAAGATCAGTATGGGTGGCAGGTTGGATTTTCAGTTCCTGTGCTGTTCATGGTTTGTTCTGCTGTTATGTTTTTACTTGGATCTTCTCTTTATGTGAAAGTTAAAGTTGGTGAGAGCCCGTTTTCAGGGTTCATTCAAGTTCTAGTTGTTGCTTTCAAGAACCGGAAAGTCAATCTTAGTCACGATGACTGCTATAATCATAGCCATGGAATGGATCGAGTTGAGCTAACAGAGAACTTAAGGTTTCTCAACAAAGCGTGTGTTATTAAAGATTCAAACACGGATCCATGGAATCTCTCCACAGTCGAAAAGGTGGAATCCCTCAAATCCCTAATTCGTATAGCACCAATTTGGTCTTCGGGAATTCTACTATTCACCACAAGTTCACAAAGCTACCCAACACTCCAAGCAAAAACAATGAATCGACACATCACCTCAGGATTCGAAATCCCACCCGCATCATTTGTCTTATTCATGGTCTTAACACTCACAATATGGCTAGCCTTCTACGATCGTGTCTTAGTCCCGATTCTAACAAAACACACACATCAACCGCGTGGGCTCCACCCAAAAAACCCGAATGGGAATCGGGCTACTAATCTCAGTCATTGCCATGGTGGTGTCTGCCATCGTGGAAACCATAAGGCGCCACGTGGCAAGGTCGGGTAATGACATGTCAGCAATGTGGTTGGTCCCACAGTATGCTTTGCTAGGATTAGCTGAGGCTTTCAATGCAATAGGGCAGATGGAGTTTTATTACTCTGAGCTTCCAAAAAGTATGTCGAGTGTTGCCATGGCGGTGTTCATGGTGAGCAATGCGTTCTCGGGGCTTGTTGGAAGCGTTTTGGTCAATGTTGTTGACTTGGTGACAAGTGAAGGTGGTAGTGTGAGTTGGTTATCGAGTGATATTAATGAAGGACATGTGGATTATTACTATTGGTTACTTGGTTTGTTGAATTTGCTCAACTTTTTCTACTTCTTGATATGTTGTCGTTTTCATAAGAGGTTTACATTGTCCACATGAGCTTGGAGAAGAAGGGTAATATTTTGGGCATTGAAGGTTTACATTAGGTTTTAGCATTCGATATTGCCATGCGATTTGGTTATATGTGAATTATGCTCTAGTGTGTTGAATTATATTCTTAATGTTATATGCATAATCCAAAAGAAATTAAGCATTCGATTAAGTATTTTCATGTACATGATGGTTTTCTATGGGATTCATTTTAGATAATGTAAATTTATACTGTATTAGTTATATCGATATGATATGCCATGTTGTGAAGTCGATATTGTGTTGTTTAAAGTGACACAAAATTAACTAGGAACAGATAAGGTGTGGAAACATATATGAAACTGTCAAAATTCCCAAAAAACAAGATTTATTATATTTATTAAATGATCTCAAATGCTTATAAAAGACTTTAAGGAAAACAATTAAACACTGCAATTAAGGAAATAAAATCGTGTTTTGTCAAAAACAACACAAAGGAATCTGAATCCTATGGTAACAATTTTCTCCGTACAAAACATTTTGTTCATTGAAATGTTGTATTGTACAATTCTATAAAATATAAATTGTTGTGTATGAATAACTTCATCAACGCAAAAGGTTAATCCAAATGGAACTTTAAAAGACTTTAAAGGAATTTAGGCAACAATTAATAACAACAGAAAAAAAAAACAATAAAATTAGGGAAATAAAAATCCTATTTTGTCAAAAACAAAAACGATCAAAATGATGTGTTTTGCGGCACACAGCTCGATCCCTCAAACAAATCTCTACGTCAATTCATCATATCTCACGGCCTAAAAGTTGTACGCATGTTTACCATAATTCGGCCAATCGGCCTAGAAACCATGGCCCTCCTCGAAAACATCAGTTTTCATTTCCGCCATCCTATCCCAAAATGCATTATTTTCTTCCTCTTTTTTTCATTTACATTCGGTTGGCTTGGGGTTGTCCTTCACCACCTTAAAACAGGTTTAAAGTTGGGTGCGTTCATACAATGACTATTGTTAGAGTTAACGGAAATCAATATATGTATAATGATGTGAGTGTTAAATTAAAACAAAACAACTAACATAACATTAAATTTAAACTTTACCGATATGAAAATATATTTACCAAATCAACATTATTCCACTATACACAGGCCCCGCCCAATACCCAAGTGAGATGGACGAATGTCAGGGCAGCAAATATGAGGGAGCATCACTTTAGTCCGACAAGTACTAGTAGATATATTAGTTTAGCCAAAAATAATTTAGTCCAACACACTTATTTTGTTGACACAGATGTCAGACACACATAGGCAAGGTAGTGTTGCATAAGATGTGGGGGCGAAATAATTGAAGCCCCAAACACCTTGAGAGTTGTAATCTACATTTGTGGTTGGCTGATTTCCAATCGACGCCTGGAAAATGAACGATGTAGGAGATCGAGGATTTGACTATCATCTTTAAATAGACTATACTCTAATTTCTAAATATGATTAGTCCAACACACTTATTTTGTTGACACAGATGTCAGACACACATAGGCAAGGTAGTGTTGCATAAGATGTGGGGGCGAAATAATTGAAGCCCCCAACACCTTGAGAGTTGTAATCTACATTTGTGGTTGGCTGATTTCCAATCGACGCCTGGAAAATGAACGATGTAGGAGATCGAGGATTTGACTATCATCTTTAAATAGACTATACTCTAATTTCTAAATATGATTATATTTTCTGATTTCTCCAATTCTCATATTTCTGATTCCCGACTTGGCGATTCGTGTGAGTTGAAATCGAACTAAGATTGTCAATATCCGATTTATGATTCTCAATTCTAATTTCTCCCATTCTCTTATTTTTTTATGACTATTTTGATTTGGTATTTTGGTGATTTCATATTAGTATGAGTTAGTGTTCAAAGTTTGAGACTTGGAGTTTGAAGCCTTTCAGTTAAGGAGGTATTTCAGTATTTTCTGTTTGAAATATGCATCTTTGCTTTCATATTTTTTTGTTTTGATTATAATAGTTACAGTTGTTTGCTTCTGGAAGTCTGTTTTTATTTTTATTTAGTGTGATTTTCGTAGGAGTATCAGTTTGAATATGTGATGCTTTTTTGAGTTCAAAATCAGGAGTTCGCAATTTCGGTTTCTCATATTTGAGTTTAAAATCAGGAGTTGTTTGAGGTCTAATAATTGTGGTTTGCTTTAGGTATAATTTTTGTGGTTTTATGTATAATGTAACGCCCCATTCCTGGTATGTAATTTAAATATTGAATTTCCTTTCTTAAGGGTTACTCGATGAGTCAGTAGCCCCGACTCGTCGAGTAGAAGCGAGATTGCATGTGGACTTAGTGGGGCGACTCGACGAGTCCACTCCCGACTCGACGAGTCTGCCAGTCTGGATGAAACCATAATTCTTAGGGTTTGCACCCTATTTAAACGTCATTATAGCCCCCATCCCAGCCTCCAGCACCTCTAGAGCGTTCCCCCTCAAAACCCTAGCCCTCCATTGGTGAGTTTGAGTGATTCCTTCTTGATTTTGAGTGATTTGGTGTATTCTTGGAAGTGTAGAAGAGAAGGAAAGAGAGAAGGTGCAAAGGAGAAGAAGGAGATCCAGAAGCTAGCTTCCATTTGCTACTTCATCTGGTAATAAAACCTCTACCTTGTTCATTTTCCTAGTAGATCTTCATATATGCTTGTTTTGCCACTTTTGGGACATTTCAAGGTCCAAACTCGAGATTAGAGCTCCCTTAGGGTAGGAAACTATAGATATGGACATCATTGAGCTCCAGGAGCTCAAAGTAGCTACCTTTATGCAAAGCAAGGCCTTGTTCCAAACCCTAGGTTCCCATTTCTAGCTTATTTTGGTGTTTTAGCTTCATACCTTTATGCATGCACGTAAAGTTGGCAACTTTACGTGTTATATCGGCCCTAGTAGCTCAGATCTATGAATTGGATGCACTGGAATCGATTAAAATCAACTGTATAGTGAAGACATGCATAGGACTCGACGAGTCGTTCATTGGACTCGGCAAGTCGGAGCGCAAACTCCCGATTTCTCTGATTTGAGAGTTGTGAGTTGAATCAGTGTGTGGAAGAGGACTCAGTGAGTTAGAACAAGGATCTGGAAGTAGAGGGACTCGACGAGTCTACGCCCCGACACGGCTAGTCGAGCCGCGAGTTAGAGAATTGTGAGTTAGGGAACTCGGCGAGTCCATAGTAGGACTCGGCGAGTAGAGTCAACCTGGAAGTTTGACTCTGACCAGGACTTTGACTTTGACCAGGGGGTACATTGGTCATTTACTCCATGAGGAATCATCAGTTGATTCAGAATGTTATGTGATTGTAGCCCGGGAGTCGCCGGAGCAGCAAACAGGGATTTCTCACTCGGGATATCAGCAGCCAGTTATACGAGGTGAGTTCTCTTTCAGTAGGAACGGGTCTACGGAACCAAGGCCGGCCTGTAGTATGATATGATAGTAGCTGAGTGTGGGCGGGGCACGTATCCTATCCTAGCAGAGTGTGGGCGAGGCCCGTATCTCATAGTAGTAGTTGATTATGATGTATGAGCAGTAGATTAGCTTTACATGTTGTCTGTGTGATACTTGTATGTTGGGTTTTGTAGTTGAGTGTGGGCGAGGCCCGTACCTCATCATGGCCGAGTGTGGGCGAGGCCCGTATCTTGAAGTAGCTGAGCATGGGCGAGGCCCGTACCTCAGAGATAGTGGAGTGTGTGCGAGGCCCGTATCTCGTACACAGTGGAGTGTGGGCGAGGCCCGTATCTCCTAGATAGCGGAGTGTGGGTGGGGCCCGTATCTCCCAGTTAGCGGAGCGTGGGCGAGGCCTGTATCTCCACGAGTGTGGGCGAGGCCCGTATCTCCTAGTTACATGCTTTGTGTAGATGGTATGTTGTAGATTGGGGAGACTCACTAAGCTTTGTGCTTATTGTTTTCAGTTTTGGTTTCAAGTACTTCCACTAGCACTGGGAAGGGCTCGGGATGATCGCATGGCACACACCACAGTCTTCAGCCTGGGAGTTAGACTCTGATATTTGGATATGAGATTTTGATTTGAGACAGATACTATGATGTTTATGATACATGATTATGATATTACTTATGATTTTGGATGGTTGATGGTTTTAATAATGTTCTGAAAACGAAATTTTTGGGTTGTATTTTTGGGATGTTTCAAGTTGGTATCAGAGCCTTGGTTTGAGGGATTCGGGCACACTTTCGGGTGTGTCTGAACTCAAACTAAGGAAATGGTATAAGGTTTTCAAAAGAAAATCATTTTCGAAAAGAATTTTTGAAAAAGAAACTTAAAAAGAGAAAAGAGTTTTGAAAAAGAGAAAAGGGTGTGGTACATGCAATCAGCCGAGCTCAAGTAAGTACTCCCAATTTACCCATACAAGTTTATGTTATGATTATCAGTTTTAGTAGAACAACATTCTAGATTAGGGCTAAGGATCTAGGAGGATGCCTTATGTGCCTGCTATATGTGTTTCAACTTTATGAGAACTGCATGCTAGTACAGATTAGTCAGGAGGATAGCCTTAGTAGTATATGCTTGATTATGTGCACTTGATGTCCGCATGCTGCTTGCTTTGTGCTTTTAGGAGTTCTAGTTGTCTTTCACTAGCTAGTAAACAAATATGTTAAGTTACATATTGCAAGGACTAAATAATTCCAGAAGGTTAGGTCTAGCCCTATTTCGCAGCTCTTGTTTCAGTCCAACCGTTGTAGGGTAGGATCTCTCATTCGAAGAATTATCTAATCTGAGTGATATGTAATAGTATTTGCGAGCTAGTTAGGGGAAGAAAACAGGGACTTCTTACGCAGCTGATGTCGGAGAGTGGGTTGGTGATTTCCCTAGGGCAAGCCTAGGAAGAGCGTAACAGAGATCAGTAGCAGTAGAAGGGACTTGGTGGAGTCAAGGCAGTTCTTGAGGAAAGTACGGATAGATGTGGAAGGTAGTATGGGCCCGTACTACTGAAAGCAGAGGATCCGTACTCGAATCGAGGAAGG